AGATCCTAATTTTTGTTTGGAAAGTGTGTCCACTATCATACTTCCACTCTCGATTCAGGACTGGGCAGTGTTTCGTTCTGTTGTACGTCACGGTGTCCAGGCCTTGCAGCCGACTCAACGGCACAGAAGAACCACGGTCTTGATGCGAGCTGCCCCCTGAGCACGAATGGGCGTTCCTGGAAAGAGGGAGCCCATCAACCCATCGATGGGAGATTTGCAGTGCTGTCTGGAGAGACGAGAAAGGCCCCTTTCAAAAATTGGCCTCGAGACCCAGACCTGAAACTGCTGCTGGTCAACCCAAATATTCACCACAAGAGGGAAGAGGAAATGAAGTTTGGAGCAGTCAGCGAGGAGCTTTTATTACTGTCATTATGTACCACATTTTGGAAAAGAACACTCATGTGAGGAAAATCTGGTGCTGTAGTCAATGAAAAATGAAAAAGCTGTAATTCCAACTGTCTGAAAGACAGACACAGAAAAAGGAGCGGAAGAAAAACCTTAACACAATCATGGCAGTTATCATTGAGTTGTGAGAACATTGTTTTTATAGTTTAGAAAATGTTTTCTATATATTTTAAGATGAGAATTTGTTATTGCTGGGGAACTCAACTCATAAAAGGTAAAGAAATCCAAAGAAGGAAAATACCATTGCCAAGTAGTGTTTCATTCGAGTTCTTTATCAGGGGGGAGGTCACACTGTAAAAATTGTGCAAGATAAGGGCTCCTTTAAGGGTCCATTTTCGCTGGCCTCCTTCTCGCCTCCCTTCCCTGGGAGACTCGTTGACTTGACCCTGACCTGCTTTCTCCCTCTCTGTCTGCTGCCATTTGAGTGTCAGTTCACAGAGACGAGCGTGTGTATCTGTGAACTAGACGAGCTTTGAAACGATGCTCTTTCGCATTGCTTTGCCTCAGTGAAGCTGGATCAGAGCGGGGAGGAAATGCGGGGAAGGAAGAGTCACCCATTCTGATTAGAGAGGGACCTGGTGGCTTCTCCAGTCATGGTTCGACCTCGTCTCTACCCTCTCCATGCCAGAGGGGCTCCTTTGCAAGCTGGTTGTCAATGTCCATCCTACCCCTCACTGTGCACGAACTGCTAGCCCCGGAACAGAAGCCCCAGTGGAACGGCTGCCCTGAGAGACCGTCACCTCCAGGCCGGTGCTTCACGGCTCTATGTGGCACCTTCATCCGCAGGACACCTAGGGCCCGAACCCAGCAAGACGGTGCAAGGGGACTGTTTGTAGGAACCTGTGTACCTGCATTCGCAGATATGATTTTCATATCTTAAATATTCAAAATCTATAAAGATGATTTTTTTTAGTTGAAAAAATACCTGCTATTGTCAATTTCAAGTTTTAGAAACCTAGATTTTGTTTTCATTTGGGGGAGGGGAGACTGCGGAAATCTTTCAATGACGCCTACGAGATTCTTAATTTTCTTCCTTTACCTTGAACAGATTAAATTTGGGGTGAGAGCATTTCCTATGTCTTTGTTTTTCCTATCAAATGTTTCAGAGACCTGCTAATGCGTGAGGTGTATTTTGGGATACTCAATGAAGAAGGCAGGCCCCAGACGTGGCCCCAATTAGCCCCTGTGCCGACAGGAACGAGGCCATTGTTCTTTTGCTGAGTTCTGATGATTCCAATAGGACACGCTTCCGCACGGATATACTGCAGGCCCTGTGCAGTTAGTCACCCTTTCTGTAACAGTATCTTTTAAGGAAATGAACATTCGGTCACTCCATGTCACAAGGCTGTTATGAGGGAGGAGCAGATGCAATTCTGAAGGTGAGCCTGATTTGAAAATAAAAATGCTGTACATGCAAGGTCTTATTTGTTTTCTCATACTAGTCCATGTGTGCACTGGTAACCCCAAATCCACATTTTAAAATATCAACTACTACATGCTCAGCACTGCAGAAGGTATTGTAGAGAATACGGAAGCACAAGAATGGGTTCAGCCTTCCACGAGCTTTCAGACTAGGGAGAACACCCATCCGTGGTGACCTAACTGTATGGCACACACCTGGCCATGAAGGGGCTCAGAGGAAAGGGATTTGGAGGTTTCAAGAAGCACGAGAAGCTTCATGTAGGATTTGTAGAGCATGGATAGGCTGCAAGGAGTGTTCCAATCTTCAAGGTTTGGGCGAAGACAACAAACCAAGACAACCAATAAGAATGGTAGACTGGGGTTAGGAGACACCAGGAAAAATGGCAGACCAGACAAGAAAATAAGTTGGGAAGCAATGGGCAGATGACTGGGATAAAGTTCCACGAATCAGGCAGAACCAAACCCCTGAGAAAGAATGTCTTCACCTGTGCTGGTTTCTACATCCCAATACTCAACTGTCAACTCCATTTATCTGATAACCAGCTGATAACATTGTTATAAAGAGAAAATAAGGGAGGGGAATCTATTTCCATATGTCTTGGAAACTCTAAAAGGCACTATGAATGGTTGTTGGGGGTTCCAATATATCTTATATTAAATAAAGATAACCCAGGAATGGAACTAATCTTTCTCTCTTGAATTTTAGAGGGAATTAGTTGTGGAAAATGATCCAGGAAAAATATAATTTTTCATCCTAAAAGTTTTATTTTTAGAAATACTAAATAAATAAAGCCTTTGAGTAGGGAAATGTTGGGCTTGCATGCTTAGAAACTTTTATGGGTTTTGTAAAAAGATCGATCAATCAAATTTTAGCCCCATCCAATTTCCTTTCATCTTGAATTTCAAAGCATGCATTTTGAGGGTTGGTGTTTTATCTTTGTCTTAGGCTTTGAATGGCCGGAGCCAGGTCCATGCCAACCTAGGTCATTAACATGGTACCACTGATTTTAATGAAGTTGGAGGTTTGGCTAACGATGGGAACCACAAGGTAGATAGATGTATGCAGGACAATAATGCAAAATGCTTATTTATGGACTTTGATAAGTATAGACTATTGCTTCAGAGCAGCTTAATGTATCCTAAATGATTCTAATTTTTTCAGTCAGTTTATAGAATTATTTCCCAACTCTTGATTTTTTAAAAAATTTTCTTCCCTTCTGTGACTTGTCTTATTGCTTAAATTATCACAAGATCCGATGTTTGTTCGGAAGTTGAAACAATGTTTATATTTCTTGAACAGGTGACAGCTCAGATAGTTTAAGGCCGGTGCAGGCCAGTCAAGCCGAATAGACATGAAATGAGCCGAGGAAACACTTAGGCTGCGGAAAACATGAGAGTGTTTAAGGGTTATTGAGATGCCGTCAGAATGTATCAGGCACTCCGGAGAGCACTTTCTTGTAAGTGGGACATCTCTATTTAGTACATTGTTTAGGGCAGGTTGTATGCAGCCTGCTACTTTACCCCATAGCTAGATCCACACGGCTTGAGCTATCTCTGCCTGACAGAGAAAAGAAAAGAGGGAATCCACCATATTTTGTGGATTATAGGGGCAGCCATCCCTGGGAGCGTCTCTGTGGGGTCTTGAATCACCCCCTCCCCCCACTGCTGTGACATGCAAGGAAAGTCCCCTCAGATCACCAGACTCCTGAGAAAATTCATACAATCCACACATCAGGGGTTGGAAACAGTCTTGTCATGATGACACAGTTTGTTTCCTTTAAATTTAACCAATGTCATTGAAATGGGGAGGTTCTGAGCGCAACAAATGGCAGGTAACTTTGGCTGCTAACTGATAAGTTAAAGCTGGATGGCCCTTGAAAGGAAGACCTGGTGATTTTAATCAAATGATCAGCTATTGAGAACCCGATGGAGACGCTTCTACTCTGACCTGCCCGGGGTCATCATGAGTCAAAGCCAATGTTATGGCAACTGGCAAATGGTCATTTAAAGAATGTTGGCGTAATGCAGGGAGCTCTTTGGATGCTAGGGATAGAAGCTCCAGCTACTTGGTCCTACTAGACCGTCCATCTGGATGTTCCTGAAGAAGTGAGGAACATTCTCTTTGCAGAAGTTGAGCCGAGGAAGTAGTGAGTGTCTCATGCCGGGAGGATAATGGCCTAATGTTCTTGGACAGAGCTTGGCATACTATGACCTGCAGGCCTGGAAAGTTTGTTCACCTACTGCCCTCCTAAACCTGGAGTCTTATTTATAGATAGTGTGGTAGCTACATAATCTGGTGTCAGTTTGGGACGTGAGAGGATTAAGAGTGAATGTGTGTAGTCTAGTCTGTCAATCGGGTTATAGCCAATGAGACCTCTGTGTGGGCATGGCCTTCCCCTGAAGATTCTGGGAACTCTGTATTTTCCTCCTTGGAGGTGGGAGAGACTTCTCTCTCTCTGTTCACTTTCTACAGAGACATCCCTGAGGAGAAGCCACTTGGACCTACCCTGATGTAACCCTGAGAACTGGAGGAGCCACATGGAGACCTCTGTAAGGGCTGAGATGCTTCTACCACCACTGATTTTGCACCCACTGGCCTGTGATCTTCCTGCATTTGGCATCATTGCATGTGTTGTGTGAGTCTGAAGAGGACTTCATAGATTGGTATCGGACCTATGGGCTAATAGCGGACTTATGGACTTGATCTGGACTGGGTTGGGATGTTTTCTCAGTATTCAACTGCTCTTATATATAAACCTCTTTCTTATACACACGAGTCTCTATGAAGTTGTTTCTCTAATCCACCCAGCCTAACACAGATTTCAGGGCCACAGGAGGCAGGACTTACAGTGCAGACCAAGGCCACTCATTCCATAGTCAACTCTGACCCCCGGCGACCCCAGTGGAAAGGAACTGTGCTCCACTGTCAATGGCTTGAGTTTTGGCTCTCCCATTTTGGAGGTGACTGTTCAAATCTTCATGGGGTGCGCTGATGACAACATGAAGCTCCAGTCAGGGTGAGCTGAAGACGTTGACATGGAAGTATTTATTTCCTCAAAAATAAATAGCTTAGTTTTTCCTCTCCAACTTTGAGAAGGATCATTTGGGGGACGGTGTAGGGGTGGGGGCAGGGTGAGGGCAAGATGACAGGAGCATTTTGACATCCGTTACAAATCCCAGGGAGCCGTTGAAAAATGCCCTTGGCTGTTTCAGCTCATGAAACCTCACATCCCTTTTTCCATTCGGACAGGTCTTTGCCTTCACAGTATTGCTTCCAGCCTTGCCTAAGAAGCAGAGGGGAGCAGAATGAAGCAGCCGTGACCATCGAAACATGTCCAGGTTCAAAACCCAGGTAATTAAAGTAACCAGCCGTGCTCAGACTTTGTTATCTGCTTCTGAAACCCCAGGACAGCATCCTTTTTCCTTGTTAAGAAGTTTTTGCCGCCCCTTCCCAGTTTCTTTTCTTTTTAAAAAAATTGTTAGCCTCCATAACCCATAAACAAGCTTTCAAAGATGGGGTCATTCAGTTAGACAGGTGGAAGCCTGATGAACAATTTCTCTAGAAACAGATGTGATGAGGGTGAGCATCCTCGTGGAAATGGGAATGTCTGCTAGACGATGGTCCAGCAGACTGGGCCACTTTTATTCACCGGGGCTTGCTCTCTCTCTCTGCCAAACGGGGCTGGAGCTCTCTAAATCCTACTCGCACTTAGAGGGAACTCTACCCCGCCTTTCTCCAGGCTAGTGACTCCACCCACTCTTTCCAATGCACATCAGTAAGTACCCCATTCTCCATTGCTTATCACACCTTATCGTGAAAACTGCAATGTATCAAGACTTAACACACAGCCCCTTCTCCTTGGTCTAGTCTCTTCTATTGAATCCTCTACACGTGAAGAGACTGATGGGTTGATTATCAACGTGGGCACCTTAGAATCTTTGGACGCTCTAAGGGACCAACCAAAATGAAGCTACGGAGAATGCCCACACCTTTGGAAGAGGGTAAGCAATGCCACCACGTGTGTAGAATGTGTTGAATGGGAACCTCAACTGTTGTAGAAACCATCACCGAGAAGGCAATGAGATATTATATCAAACAAACCAAATCTCTAGACCCTCTTTGGAGGGTGATTTTGCCAACGCCCTTTGTAGCTGGGAGGTGCAGGCACATCATGAGGAGCACAGACATGGGTGAGGAATGGACGCATCATGCCCACGGGCCCCTGCTGGCAGGGTCTCCCAAGGAAGGACTCTTACCAGTAGTTCATCCCCTCGGTCTCTTTCACGATTTTCTTGGCACAGATAATTGCATCTGTGAGGTCGTCGGTGATCAAGGCTGTAAAAGAGAGATGTTGGGTGAGCTGAGGCTTTGTTTTCTGGGGAGGATTCCAGGTTTTCTTTTCTCACTGTTTTTTTTGGGAACACACAGCCAGATTCTTATTTGTGTGGATTTCTTCACAAATCAAAGAAGTCTTATATTTCAAGACCATCCGCATTTTGGACTTCCGTGAGGTTTCAGAAGAATCGCCCAGCCCTGAGGGGTTTGGGGGGGGGGGGTTCAGAGGAGACAATGCGAGAACGCTTCCATCGTTGGCATTATGTCTTAAGGAAATACACAAACACCACAGGACAGTACAGTGCTTCCTCTGCTGAGTGTCATTTGACATGTAACATCTCTTTGTAGCTAGCTACACATCAAATTTTGGTTCAGGGTTAGTTTTAAAAGTGTATTTCTATTTTGTCTTTTCACAAGGATGTATAAGGAAGTATTTTCACCTGGAGACATTTTAACGCTTTCGGTCATAAACACTTTATCTTGGCCTGTATTACTGTTTCTTTCAACTTCAAATATAAGAAATCTTTGAATTGAAAATGTATTCATTGACGTCTGCATTTGCCCCAGCTTGCTTGGAAACCAAAATCAAAAACCAAACCCATTTCTCTCAAGTCCATTCTGATGGGTGGCAACCTCCTGTATTATAGAGTAGACCTGGGCTCCATTGGGTCTTCTTTTATTTCTTTTTTAATCATTTTATTGGGGGCTTTTACAGCTCTTATCACAATCCATCCATCCATCTTTATACTTGAGCCCTTGGTATCAGCTTATTTCCCTCCTCCCCCACCCTCCCTCCCACATGAAACCTTGGTAATCTAGAATTTCTTTTTCATGTCTTACACTGACCGCTGTCTCCCATCATCTACATTTCTGTTGTCCGTCCCCCTGGGAGGGGGTTATATATAAGACCATGGGATGATCTTGGCTGTGACATTTATAGTAGATCACCAGATCCTTCCTCTAGGGCAGTGGTTCTCAACCTTGCTCAGGCCGCGACCCTTTCATACAGCTCCTTATGTTGTGGTGACCCCAACCACCAAATTATTTTCGTTGCTACTTCATCACTATCATTTTGCTACTGTTATGAATCATCATGTAAATATCTCATATTCAGGATGTATTTTCATTGTTACAAAATGAACAAAATTAAAGCATGGTGACTAATCACACAACAATATGTAATTATATATTGTAAAATATTTATTTCTAATGGCAAATAAATGAAATTTTGTCTGGTGTAGCAAGGGTAACAATCTTCACACACAGTACATGTGGGTGGGCTTATCTGAAGGTGGGCAGACCCACCTAGAGACAGATAGAGGAGTGGTGTCTCGGTTCCTAAGACCATCAGAAATATGTGTTTTCCAATTGTCTTAGGCGACCCCTGTGAGAGGGTCATTTGACCCCCAAGGGGGTCGCAACCCACAGGTTGAGAACCGCTGCTCCAGGTGTCCCAGGGTGGGGTCAAGCCACAACGTTTGGGTCCATCAACGAGAAAACTAAAAACAATACCAGGCAACACAAAAGGTCAGTCCTGGATTTGATTCTGAGTCCTGGTGACATTAGAAACCCCGTATCTCTTCACGAGAGTGGAAAGCTACCTTTTTCTGCCTCCGAGGGGCTGGCGGTTCACACCTGCTGACCTTGTGGTCAGCACCCGGCGTGTAACCGCTACGCCGCCAGGCCCCCTAGTAAGGGGGGCAAACCGCAATAGCCTGAAATCTTCAACACACGCATCACGTACAAAGTCAACGAGATAGAAACAGAGCAACGTCTCTTCCGTGGAGGCCTGGCGTCTCCAGAAGCAGACATGGAGGTAGACGTGGAGAGAATGATGTCGACTACTAGCCAGTAACACTGCGAAGGACTGTTAGTGGTGCAGAGGTTAAAGCTGATGGCTGCTCACCAAAGAGCTGGGCTGTTTGAACCCCCAGCTGCTCCGGGGGAGAAAGAGGTGGCCTCTGTTTCCATAGTCATCAGAGCCTTGGGAATCTTCTGGGACACTTGAAGACAACAGATTTGTTTGTTTGCTTTATGTAAATGTATGTAAATTGTTTTACTTATGTAAAAATATCTGCCTTAAGCTATTCTTTCCAATAGGGTAGCCATTCCCAGGTGCGACTCTTTAAATGTAAATTAATTAGCATTACATACAATGAAAACTTCATTTTCTCAAGGGACATGGCTACATTTCAAATGTTGTCTAGTCACTTCAGGCTAGTGGCTCCCGTACTTCATAACATAAAAATAAAATGTTTTCCTCAATGCAGACAGTTCTTTCAAATAGTACTAAGCTTGAAAAAAAGAATCATCATAAAGCCATCAACGTTTTCAGTAGCATTAGCTCTTCCGTATAGGATCACACTTGCTTTGTAACTTTCTGTTGTATATTTTCTAGCTCTCCCAAAGGAGAGATGCATTCTTTGTTCGATCAGACCTTGGTGAAGTTCTGCGCTGCTAGTCGGAGGTCAGTGGTCTGAGTCCCCTAGCTGCTCCACAGGAGGACGGATGGGAAAGGCTGGGAGGATGAGGATGTACACAGCTTAATGACAGTGCTCTGTCCTGCAGGGTCTCTAGGAACTGGCATCAATTTCAAGGCCACAGGTCTGGTTTTTTGTTCGTTTGTTAATTCTTGGAGTTGTACACACCCCGGGGCATGTGCATGAAGACTAGGCCTTGTCTCCGAGATGGGTATGGCTAGGAAGTGCAAAATATGCGGGAGAGGAGGATTTAGCAAGTAGAGACTGTCAGGCATTGGCCAGTCTCCCACTTTATGACAGCACGTTGTTGCATCTTTGAGACATTTTGATAGTGCTTTTTGATCACTTATTAATGCTCGTTAGGGAAGTTGGGGGGTCAGGAAATAGTCCGACACACAGCAGAGATGTTAAAACAGACGAATGTAGCCACGGAGGGGCAGCAGAGCGGCACGAATGAGCTAAGACACAAGGTTTTTGTTTTTTTACAGAGGCGCATGCCAGGAACTGTTTCTGCCCAATTTCCTTTAAATAGACAATCCTGTTGAGTCAAACAGGAATAGGTAAAGGGTTATGTGGGACATCAAGGCATTGTTCAGTTCAAATGAACACTTCATTCTCCTACATGTGGCAACAGAAATCAGCAACAGTCGACCAAAAAAAAAAAATCATGACTTATTTTCAGTTAAATGAGATCTACTTGAAACCCTCTTTTCTACTTGGATTTCATGCTCTCTTGATCTCTACTTCCATCTCCGTCATCTTTACCTCATCCCAGGAGCCTTCTGCATTTCCACGAAAACAGAGCTACCATGCCCACGATTTCTCTCCCTCCTCTCTCTGCCATAGCAAAAGCCGACTCAGATACCAAAACGCAAACGAAACTCCCTGCCGACTCATCAAGACCGGATGGGACAGGACAGAACTGCCTCTGTGGGTTTCTACAGGGCAGCTTAGATAGCAGGCTGGTGAGAGACAGAAAGTGCACTACACTAACCAGAGGGCTCAGTCCTGGCTTCCTTTTCCTGGGGCATCTCTCACTCGAACACGGTCTGAGCTATTTGAGGACAATGAATTTGATATTGAGTCAGAAATTTTGATGACTGGATGGATACACATGTACTCGTATATATATGTATATACATACATGTATATATATATAAACATGTATATATATAAATGTTTGTGGGAGGTAGCAGGAGTTTGGGGAATACAATATGTTATGAGGAGATTGCATAACTTCAGAAATGGTCATGACTTCGTATAGGAGTTGTGTGTACTTAATAAACATACTCTAATACCAACTTCTTCCCAGGTTTCCATGACAAATAGTCCTCATACAGGAGGTCAGATGAGATTTCTAAAGCAATCAAAATCTTTCTGACCTCAAGCTGAGAGAACTCAGTCACTGAAAAGTGATCAGAGACATCCTGTTTCTATTTTAACGGTGTCCCTGAAATTCCTTTCTCTTTATTTTGAGAAACATATCTGAATTTCACCTGAGTTCCACTTCACCACTAACCACAAGGCAGCTAACATTTTAGTTTCCTTGCATCAAAGATTTTTGTGTAGATATACATAGGGTCGTGGTTACAAATTGGATTAACTCCAAAGTCAGCAGTTCAAAACCACTAGCCAATCAGAGGGAGAAAGATGAGACTTTCTACTCCTGTAAAGAGTTACAGTCTTGGAAACCCACAGGGACATTTCTATATTTTCTATATATTCTCTATTTCTAGGGTGGCTATATGTTAGAACCCATTGGCTTGCAGTCAGTTATTTGAAGTTCTCCCACTGTAGACAGCTGAGAAAGCCTGGCTGAAATATAAGAGAAAGATTGTTTTCAAGCACTGTATAGCAGGCAGTGCAAGATTGTGACCCTTGGGGGATAAAAATATGAGGCAAACCTTATAATTGCTCCTTCTTTCTTCCCCAAAACCCTCTCGAGACTGGAAGGTAGAACCCCAGCAGGTAGAAGACAGCTATCCGCAGAGAGGGAGTTGGAATTTGGGGAGCAGAGTGCCCCAGTGGTAGGAGCTCCTCACAAAATGGCACCAGGCTATGCCTGAGGGTGCCACCAAGTCTTTGGCTGAATGCTCCACAGGACAGCGAGGGCAAAACTCCACCAAGTTAGGCAGAGAACAGCTTCCAGGGAGCTGAACCACTCACAGCGCCCACCCCGGACTAGGAGCTACCGTACTCGATTTCAGACCAGCTAGAAGGGAGAGACCTGGTATATGGGTACGGGTATACTTACACAATTTGTATAAACTATACTCCATTGTGTTTGAATAGGTCCAGAAGTAAAAAGTGGAAGGAAGATGTAATGAGGCAGATTTTTGACTCAACAAAAAAATGTTCTAAATGAGGAACTTCTCAACAATGGAGTGGGCAGCTTTAGGAGGTAGTGAGCTTGGGGTATTAGTGGAGGGACGGGGATGATTAGCTGGATCATTTTGACATTATCCTTTAGTCTTTCAGACATTCAAACATGTTCACTGCTGACTGCCTTTTTAAAACCAGAGCCCTGATGGCGTGGTGGTTAGGTTGGGCTGAGATCCAAAAGGTGAGCAGCTCAGAAAGGTCAGCTGTTTCAAACTACCACCCGCTCCAAGGGGAGAAAGATGGGGCTTTCTGCTTAGGGGACGATTAGTCTCAGAAACTCACTGGGAAGCTCTACCCTGGCCTATAGGTCACTACGAGTCGGCATTGACTAGATGGCCAAGAGTTTAGGGTTTTGTTTTTTTCAGTCTTTAAAATTTTTTTAAATGTTTTAGTCTTTTAAAAATGTTTGTTGTGGATATATATAGATATCTATATCTATATATATATCTATATATATATAGATATAGATATCTATATATATATATAGATATATATATATATGCAGGAAATGTTCCATTTTAAGCCTTTTCAAGTGTGGAATCCATTTGCGGGGCTTATCTCTATTTACTGATTAGGTGTGAAAGAAAAATGAAAGGACAGTTCACTTCCTGCTTTCCCAAATCTGTAAGCAATACTTTCTGTGCTTCTCCGACTTCGCCCTTAGGCCTCATTCTCACCATTCACGTAATCAGCTACCCCTCACTGAGCACACACGAGGAGCCATCCACCGTTCTAGCCACTGAGGACAGATCAAGCACAGAACAGACAAGACTGCTGCTCCTGGCAAGCTTACGTTCTGTAACAACCGGAGCGAGGACACGGTCGTTTCCTGAGCTCTGTCTGCCATCTGCCTTTCTGGATCCTTTCTTCCTCCGCCTCCCAGCGTGGCCACGGCACAAGCGTTTCTATGGCTTACTTCATCAATTGCAGCGCATTTAAATAAACCCAGGAAAAAGCAAAACCAAACCTAACTCACCCTCGAGTCCATTCCCATTGGGGGGTGGGGCAATCCCCAGGACAGGCGAGCGCGGCCCCTGGGGGTGTCCAAGGCTGCAAAGCTTTATGGGAGCAGAAAGCCTCATCTTTCTTCCACAGAGCGATGAGCGGGTTCGAACCACAGATCACATGGCTAGCTGCCCCGTGTATAACCTGCCCCGCCACTGGAGCTCCTTGATATTGAAGTCACGCCCCTCTTTAATCTGTCTCACGCCAGGTGTGCACCCATTTTCTCTCTGAAGCCGCGCTTAATCAATTGATAGCTATTGCTCCGACTGCAGGCAGAAATAAGGAGCTGAGGTTGGTGGCCACTTTCCCACCTACATTTCCCATCCTTCTTCACACTCGTTTGTTCCAATAAAACCTAGTGCTCCTTCCTGTTGGTGGCCACGTCCATCTCTGGTTTTCTGGTTCCCTCTACCTTGACTGAGTCTTCTACATTTCCAAATATCCAAATCTTGTCTATTTTCCTGTAAAGCTATAGTCTTAGAAATCCTACATAGGAGTGCTCTGAGTCAGAACTGGTGATGGGGGTTCCAGAGAGGCTATGCAAAGCACCCTTATTTGCTTCCTTCTCACAGAGCACAGCTGTGTCCTGTGAGTGATTTGCTTATGGAAAGAAGCTGGCACACAGCTTCACCTTCTTGAAGGTGTCTCGTCTTTTTGCATGAAAGGCTCGGAAGGTCAGCCCAGGCTCTCGTGGAGAATTTAATAAAAACCATCCACAAAGAGTAAGTCATCGTTAGACAAGTAGGCAAAATCGAGTGCCATGCATCATGGTGGAGTGCTGTTGAGCCACTTACCAGCCTGATCCAATACCTACCTATCTATCGGAACTCCCAGCCCTAGCGGAAACAGAAAATGGGGGGGTATGCCATTTTCAGCTTCCTCACCCTTGTCCCCAGGGGCGATATTTTGGGGAGATCAAACCTGTACCTGAGCAGGCGACATGGCAGTGGTTCTTCTGCTGCAGTTTGCCACTTCGGCACCAGGTAAAGCTGTTTATCTGGAAGATGCCGTAGTCGATACTTCCATCCTCTAGGACTGTCTGGGCTGTGGTGTTGTAGTGACTCTCATAATATGCCAGGCAGATCCCTGGAGGAGCGGACAAGTCAAAAATGGCAGCAAAAGAAATGTATTCTTTTCCTTAACCCTCTTCTAGGAGGGAGTTCCTCCTGAAATGGTAGCTCATTGTCTCCTCCCAAAACACCTTCAGGTGGGCCAGGGCACATAGTGAAGTGTAACTGTGGGTCACAGGGGGAGACAGAGGTACTGAGGTCCATGGACACATATTTGAAAGTGCACACCTAAGTGAGTGGTTAACTGAAAAACCAGTGGGCCTCAAGGTGACCCTGACTCGGGGGACCCTGTGTATGTCAGAGCAGACTGTGCTCTGTAGTTTCCAGGGGTTGATTTTTTTGACAAGTGGGTTGTCAAACCTTGTCTTCTGAGGTACCTGTGGGTGAACTTGACCCTCCAACTTTTGGGTTAGCAGCTGGGCCTGTTACTCATTTGCATCCCCCAATGTCTCCAGGGCCAGTCTAACCTAGAAGAACAATTCCTCTCTTTGAGCCCCTAAAGATGCCAACCGGAATGGCACCTTCCCCTGGAGGTTTCATTAGGACAGGCTGCTTGGAGGGAGGGCACAGGGGCTGGGCAAGGACGAGGAGCAGCAGTGGGGAAGAGCCTACGAGCCATCCTTGGCTGGACACGTAGGGGAAAGCTGGCGATTATAGGATGGGGGGAGCACGGATGAGGTGTTCCGTGTCTTGGAGCGGAGATTAGGGCCAGAAAGACAAGGGAGAAATCTCACAGTTTCCAAGGCTGAAACCTTGGTAATTGTCCAGGCCGGCTCTCGAAAATATTTTAGCCAGTTTACAGCGAGTGTAGATTTTGGCCTCGATGACCGTGGCCACACAGCCCATCAGGGCCAGGATGCCGATAGCCTTCATGCCCAAGGCCGGTTGGAGGCAGAATCTGTCAGAGATCAGAGACAGGTCAGCCAATCTCACTTTGTCCTAAGGTTATATCTATTGCTGAAGGGAATTTCAACATCTGGCAGATGAGATGGTAGAAGACCCTGCCTAGATGTTTCCTGCAACTTCTAAACATTCAGAATCATTATAAGGGGTGGGTGGTGTCGGGGAGGAGGTGGTGGTGATGGTGGTGGGAAACCAGTGCAGAGAGTCTGAGAACAGGAAAGGAATAGAATCACAGGCTCTTAATACATTCCCAAGGGCTCATGTCCAAGTCAATACTATGCTACTAGAATGAAGCTCGTAAAGAAATTAACCCCCATCGACATCCAGATAAAAATTAGAAAAGAGCCTATTTCTAGTATTCCTATTTGAACTCTTTTGGGGTTCAGAAAGTAAAAAAAACAAACAATAAAGTTAAGCATGCCATACAGATGGATAACTTTAACACTTGGTTGGAAGTTTATTGAAACAAGATATTGAAAAGACAATGAAGAACTATCTTGCTTCCATTGTCATCTTTCGATATTTTCCCAAAAGTGAACGTATTACTTCAAACATGACAATCTTTTATCACAAATGCAGTATCCTCCCTCCACCCACTGTGGTCCATGCCACTGCTCCTTAGGTTTTCTTAAAAGTCTTGTGTCTGACTGGTAACCAGCATGGGGTTGGGCGAGAATGAGCCAAGCGAAGGGGAGACTGTTGGGTGGTGGGGGTGGAGAGAGGATAAAGAGACTCACTGAGTTACATAAAACAGAAGTGGCTTCTATTTGTTGGCTACTGCTTTTCCTCAAGCCCTTCCTCTCTTGAACTAATGTCTTTCCCAAGGATACTAACCTTAGTAGAGTAGGAATAGAGCGATAGTTCTGGCAAGTGCTCATGAGATTGGACCTGATATTCCTACATGTATTCATTTAGCACTATCCTCTGTATCTGCTCAGAAATGTCTCATAACTTGGAACTAGATTCCACATTTGAGAATTGAGGTTAACGACAGCCAGAACAGAGCAAACAACAACTACTACAAAACCACTATGGTCACAAAGGTGTGGATGCTTGGAAGAAGCTAAGCAACAAGAGAACTGCCCTGTAAAGGGGGTACATAGAGTGAAACAGCTGCAGAAGTCAGCAAACAAGGACTGCTTTTTAAAATAAAGTTTAATTGGGACATGATTCTATCATTATCTATGGCTTTCTTTATTTTTTTCTTTTATGGGTACAAATCATAGAAACATTTATTAAACAAAAAATCAAAATGTGGAGCTACTGTTTCTTGACAAATCTATATCAAGTACTTCTTGTTTTTTTTTTACAATTCAATAGTTTAACCTTATTAAAAAGAGTTGTATATTCATCACTACATTCAATTTTAGAATACTTCCTTCTTTCTCATTATTATTCACTTCCTATTTGCCCCAACCTGCCTTGTCATAAACCTAAGAAACTGTTAATCGAGTTACTTCCTCTATAGTTTGACATATCCTGGATTTCATACCAAAAACAAAAGCCAAAAGACCCCAAAGCACACTCAAAATAGAATAACAAAACACAAAACCCCAATTAAAATAAAGCAGAAAATAAAAACTAGAATAAATGTAAAATGTGTCAAAGGAGAGAACAAATGATAAGGTGCTGAATTTTAACCTAACTCCAGCTGCATGAATCCACTTTCCAGTCTACCTGAGAGTACCGGTTAGTGGCCAGAGGGGATTCATCAAAGGCCTAATCTACGTAGGGACCCTGAAACTGGATTTAAGGGGTTTCACTGTCATACTCTATGGCTATTTTTTATCCTCAAGCAGCAAAGATGCCAATGCATCAAAGACTGTATGCCCCACAAAGGGCAAATACTTGTTTCCTGGGCCTATACTAAAGAAGGAAAAAAAATTGTGCTGAGCCTTGGTGTCTGGAGGTGCGCTGGGCACATAGAGAGTAAATAAATGAGGTTTTAAGATTCAGCACCTACACATACATTAACGTCCATCCCCTGCCACAGAATCCTACTGCTTTCAAACAGTACAACACAACACCATGCAAACAAACATAACCCCACAGCAATCATAGCCCCAAGCATAATGTTCTACATCTTCCAAGTTATGATGGAGGTCTCTTATTCTCGAGTGCAGGGTGGCTATGCCAGAGTGAAGTAGCTCTTACTGAACAGTAAGATTTCTGGTGCCTGCCCTATGGAGATGAATATCTCAGGGGACTCTGGGTAGGAAACACTGCTCTACTTACTCAATCAGTTATCCACAGCTCAACTGAGCTTATGTCCCTCCCGGGAAGCCATTTCAGGGGTTTCTCTTTCCCCAGAAGCAAGTGATCCTTTCTCACCCAAGAACCTTTTCTTAGAACCAGAGAGAAAGAGTTCTCAACCTCTTTGTTTCCACCTGCCTAGAGATTCTAGAATCCTAGTTTCCTTGACTGAAGGCCGAAAGTCCTGTGCTCCCAAGTGTTGAGGCAGAGGATAATTCTCTTCTACGCCTTCCTATCCTTTCTTTTCTTGTTTCCCTCAACAACTTTCTTTGCTATTCAGCTCAGTCAGGGATCATCCAAGTGAGAGCTCTTCTCCAAAGCCAGTCTCCCAACTGTATCATAAAGCCTATCGATAAACACGATTGACATGTATAGTGGTGTGGATTAAAGTGTGCCCTCTCACCCCTTCACCTGAATATGAGTCAACTTGTGCTGTCTATCCTTTCCTCCATGGCGTTCTGATGCAGGATACGATACACAGGATTAGTGTGTTTCTTGACAGTCACCCTTTTTTGAGCCATAACATGAGTTTAAAATGTTTTTTGAAAAATTGAATGAAAAGAAATGGAAATATTCCAAGGTTTTTCTGAAGCTCCATCATAAAAGAAATTTATAATGGAGCAGAAATCAAAAGACCTGACTATCGTCATCGAAAAAGAGGAGCTGAGAGTGGAGTTCTTTTGGACCCAGGTTCCCTGTGCTGGGAACTTTCTAGACCCCAGGGGAAGGTTGATGATTACCAACAGAGAAAGCCTTCTTGTGGAATTGGCACCCTAAATCTGGATTTCCAGATTCCTAAACTGTTAGAAAATGAAATTATGTTTGTGAAAGCCACCAGCTGGTGCGCTTTCTGTTGTAATAGTACTGAGACAGCGAAGTTGTAGCTCCAATCCAGACCCAAACCAATTGTCTCCTAGTCAATTCTAATTATGGCAAACCATGTGTGTCAGAGAAGAACTGTGTATACTCCACAGAATATTCTTTCAAAAACAGATTTTTCAAAAATAGATGGATAGATCTTTCTTCTGAGGTATATCTGGGTGAACTTAAACCATGCGCTTTTCAATTAACAGCCAAATGCCACCCTGGGGTCCCTCAGTTCAATAAAACCCAAACTCATTGCCATTGAGTTGATGCCGACTCATAGCGATCCTACAGGACAGAGTAGAATTGCTCCTGTGGGTTTCTCACTGCAATTCTTTACAGTAGTAGAAAGCCTTGCCATCGCTCCTCCCTCCCCAAGGAGCTGGTAGTTTCAAACTGCTGACCTTGCAGATTGCAGCACAACTCATAATCATATGCCACCAGGGCTGGGTATCCTTAGTAGTGGTATATTAAATTATAAATCACACTCATTCATTTCTGTACTAATCTATAAAACAAATTATGAGCATATTCAAACTGAAAGTTTTAAAGGATAACATGGAAGTGAAATTAATATGGATGAATTTTATTAACCATATAGTTTCTTTGCTATGATTAAATTGATATTATTAATTACATCTTTAATGACATCAACATAATTAAATAGGATTTATTTACTTTTAAAAACTGTGGTTTAACACTTTGTGAGTCAATAATCAAAAGAAGGTTCCAAGCTTCATTTACTTTTGTCTTGGAATTTAATGGAAGTAAAATTTAATGAAAAAAAATTTTGTTTAGTGATTTAATAGCAATAAAATTCTTTCTCATTGAGATGAATATATAGATCTAAGTAGAAGATGTTCATTACTTGCTGTACATAAACAATCATTACATTGTTTTCTTAAATTCCATCTGTCATTAAAAGTTTTTTTATGAAATTTACCTAGTACTTTTTGGTGATTTTCATGATCTCAAATTTTGCTCTCACAATCTAATTAGTAATTATTGCATAAAAATTTTTTAAAAAAATAAATGACTTAAAAATATACATACAAATATTCTGTTTGGGGCGATTTAGAAACTGTGTTAGTCTGAGTAGACTAGAGAAACAAATTCATAGACACTCATATGTGTATAAGAAAGAGATTTTCCTATTCCACAGAGAAGACCACATGGCCGGCCCCACTACGAGCCACGACATCCTTCACTGACCCATAGCCCTACAGAGGACAACACTGGAGACACAGTGTGGGAATTGGACCTGATCTGATGCCACCACACTGAGGCAAAACACTAAGGGCATGCAACAGAACAGCAAGGCGAACAGAGCAACAAAGTCCCCAGGGAATACCAAAACTAGACTTCGGGGCCAGGTCTTGGCACCCCATCAGACTTGACCAAAAAACAGTCCTAAAGGCTAACAAATAGTCCTTGAACTAACTAGAGGCTTTTCTTTTTTGTTGGGGGTGGTAGCTTTTGGGTTTTTTGTTGTTTTTTTTGTCATTGGCTTTTTGTTGCTGTTTTCTTTTCTTTTGTTGCTTGGTTTTGCTCTGTCTTGCTTTCCTGCGTGTTATTATCTCCACAGGTCTGCCTAAATAAGATAGGCTGGATGAACAATTGGGAGGAGAAAACAACAGGACTGACAGTTCTGGGGGGACATGGGAGAGAGGGAGGTGGGGGGGCAAGGAAGTGGTGTTGACAACCCCAGGGACAAGGGAACCACAAGTGATCCACATCGGTGGTGAGGAGGTTATAGGAGGCCTGATAGGGCATGATCAAGGGTAATGTAACAGAGAGTGATTACTGAAACCCAAATGAAGGCTGAGCATGACAGTGGGACAAGAGGAAAGTAAAAGGAAATAGAGGAAAGA